AGTACCATAAGCCGTACCTCGAGCAAGCACCATAGGCATTGCTCTGTACAAGCAAACTTACAAATATTTCATAAATTGAAGTAAAATTAATCCCAAAAAATCACCAAGTAAAATGATCGACCACATAAAATCGAAAACTATAAAGCATCGTATGTAAAAATTTTAAATTAAGGTCGAGGTCGAGCTCCTTCCTTATCTTTAACAAGGTCGGGGTCGGGCTCCTTCCTTGTCTTTAACAAGGTCGTGGTCGAGTTCATTCCTTACCTTAATAAGGTTGGGACCAACCCCCCTTTAAAATTTTTAACATGATCGAGATCAAGCCCCCATTCCTTTAAAACTTTTAAAATGGTGGGGACTAGCTCTAGATCTATATGCTCGAGGGCCTATTAACTTGCCATGAACAAGCCGACATTTGGACATAAATATGCCTAATCCTTGGTATAAACATTTCTAATTCTAGGCATGAGCATGCTTACTCCTTAGCATGATGATGCCTAATCTTTAACGGTGATCATGTCCGTCCTTAAAGCTGATTATTCCCATCTCAAGACTGTTCACGCCTAATCTTCAAGGCTGATCATACCCATCTCAAGGCAAGTCATGCTTATTTCAAGGCTAATCATGCCTAATCCTTAAGGCTGATCATGCCCATCTCAAGGTTGATCATGCCTAATCCTTAAGGCTGCTCATGCTTGTCCTTAAGGCTGATCATGTTTGTCCTCAAGGCTGATTATGCCTATCTCAAGGCTGACCATGCTGATCTCAAGGATGATCATACTCGTCCTTAAGGCTGATCATGCCCATCTCAAGGCTGGTCATGCTCATCTCAAGTCCTATCTCAAGACTGATCATGCCCATCTAAAGGCAGGTCATACCTATCTTAAGACTGATCATGCCGTCCTCAAGGTTGATCATGCCCATCTCAAGGTTGGTCATGCTCATCTCAAGGCCCATCTCAAGGCTGATTATGCCCATCTCAAGGCAGGTCATTTCTATCTCAAGGTTGGTCATACCTATCTCAAGGCTGATCATGCCTAATCCTTAAGGCCGATCATGCCCATCTCAAGGCAGGTCATGTCTATCTCAAGGTTGGTCATACCTATCTCAAGGCTGATCATGCCTATCTCAAGGCTGATAATGCCTAATCCTTAAGGCCGATCATGCCCATCTCAAGGCAGGTCATTCCTATCACAAGGCTAGTCATGCCCATCCTCAAGGCTGATAATGGCCGCCCTCAAGGATGATCATGCCCGTCCTTAAAGCTGATCATGCCCGTCCTCAAAGCTGACCATGGATAATCCTCAAGGTTGATCATGCCCATCTCAAAGCTGATCATGTCTATTTTCAAGGCTAATCATGCCCATCTCAAGGCAGGTCATGCCTATCTCAAGGCTGGTCATGCCCATCCTCAAGGTTGATCATGCCCGTCCTCAAGGCTGGGTATGATCAGCCTTGCCCATCCTTAAGGGTGATCATGTCCATCCTTAAAGCTGACCATGCCTAATCCTCAAGGTTGATCATACATATCTCAAGGCCATGTCTAACCTTTGGCAGGCATGAGCATGCCTAATCCTTAGCATGAGCTTGCCTATCACTTGGCGTGAGCATGCTTACTCCTTGACATGATCATGCCTAAACCTTGGCATGAGCAAGCCTATTGCTTGGTATGGTCATGCCCATCCTTAAGGCCGATCATGCTGGACAAAGGTTGATCATGCCTACCCCAAGACTTGATCATGTTTATCTCATAGCTGATCATGCCTATTACTTCTTCAACTGCTCGTTCTTAAGAGGAATGTGCTTCTCATCCAAGAAACTCACTCATGGGATGCAAGCCTCTGGCATGGATGCACGGGGGCCAATGATTATCCCGCTATTTATCACAAC